AAAATAACAGTTATATAATGAAATTTGGTCATTTTTTCACGATTTTCATAGAGTTTTGGCGACTGGGTTTTTATACCTACTCGCAATTTTTCACGATTTTCATGAGTTTTGGCGACCCCGAAAAAAGTCTGGGTCGCAAATTTTTACGATTTTCGTACGGAATCTCTACCCTCGGTTTTCCGAGGGTAGCAAACATATGAGGAAAACTCATGATTTTTGGTCATTTTTTTCGGCAAAAATATAATTTAGGGTAGATGGTTAGATCTAACCTCATTTCTACCCTCATTTCTACCCCATATGTCCTTACTGAAAAAGTATGTGTTCCATCTGTCATTTTACTCAGAATTTTGTTGCTGAATTCGGCAAAATATAATTTAGGGTAGATGGTTAGATCTAACCTCATTTCTACCCTCATTTCTACCCCATATGTCCTTACTGAAAAAGTATGTGTTCCATCTGTCATTTTACTCAGAATTTTGTTGCTGAATTCGGCAAAAATATAATTTAGGGTAGATGGTTAGATCTAACCTCATTTCTACCCTCATTTCTACCCCATATGTCCTTACTGAAAAAGTATGTGTTCCATCTGTCATTTTACTCAGAATTTTGTTGCTGAATTCGGCAAAAATATAATTTAGGGTAGATGGTTAGATCTAACCTCATTTCTACCCTCATTTCTACCCCATATGTCCTTACTGAAAAAGTATGTGTTCCATCTGTCATTTTACTCAGAATTTTTTGCTGAATTCGGCAAAAATATAATTTAGGGTAGATGGTTAGATCTAACCTCATTTCTACCCTCATTTCTACCCCATATGTCCTTACTGAAAAAGTATGTGTTCCATCTGTCATTTTACTCAGAATTTTATACAGAATTCGGCAAAAATATATTTAGGGTAGATGGTTAGATCTAACCTCATTTCTACCCTCATTTCTACCCCATATGTCCTTACTGAAAAAGTATGTGTTCCATCTGTCATTTTACTCAGAATTTTGTTGCTGAATTCGGCAAAAATATAATTTAGGGTAGATGGTTAGATCTAACCTCATTTCTACCCTCATTTCTACCCCATATGTCCTTACTGAAAAAGTATGTGTTCCATCTGTCATTTTACTCAGAATTTTATACAGAATTCGGCAAAAATATATTTTAGGGTAGATGGTTAGATCTAACCTCATTTCTACCCTCATTTCTACCCCATATGTCCTTACTGAAAAAGTATGTGTTCCATCTGTCATTTTACTCAGAATTTTGTTGCTGAATTCGGCAAAAATATAATTTAGGGTAGATGGTTAGATCTAACCTCATTTCTACCCTCATTTCTACCCCATATGTCCTTACTGAAAAAGTATGTGTTCCATCTGTCATTTTACTCAGAATTTTGTTGCTGAATTCGGCAAAAATATAATTTAGGGTAGATGGTTAGATCTAACCTCATTTCTACCCTCATTTCTACCCCATATGTCCTTACTGAAAAAGTATGTGTTCCATCTGTCATTTTACTCAGAATTTTGTTGCTGAATTCGGCAAAAATATAATTTAGGGTAGATGGTTAGATCTAACCTCATTTCTACCCTCATTTCTACCCCATATGTCCTTACTGAAAAAGTATGTGTTCCATCTGTCATTTTACTCAGAATTTTGTTGCTGAATTCGGCAAAAATATAATTTAGGGTAGATGGTTAGATCTAACCTCATTTCTACCCTCATTTCTACCATAAAGTTTTATAAGCGTTTTACATGGTAAACATTGTGAATTCGTGAAATTCTAAACAATTTTGTGGCTTCTATTTCTTCTGTCAGTATGTCAAAAGTTTTCACAATATTGAATGTATCTTTATATTTCTTCTTGACATCTGAAAGAAGGAAATCGTCAGCAGTTGGATAGTTTTTGTTCAGAAATGTCAACATGTCCATTTTATCTTCTGCTGGTTTCTCTGCTTCTTTCTTTAAGTCAGCATAGTCGTTTCGCATACGTTCTATCTCTTTGACAGAATAGTTATATTTCCTCATTGCTGCTTTACATTTTGAACATTGTGGGTTCATTTTAGCATTATATTCTGAAACCTTACCTGCTAAAACAACTAAGGCGTCAATGGTTTTCTTTAACTCAAAAGTTGCGGGTTTTATTTGTCCGTTCCATATTTTACATCTTTTATCTTTATCTCTTATCTGCCATACACATTCAGCAACTAACGAAACAAAGTTGTCGTAGGTCTTAAATTCTTCAGATTTATATATGTCAGAAACATTCTTATATACCATATCGCAGTCTTTGTCCATGACTTTGTGGTTGCAATGAAATCCAAGAAACTCATAGTTAACCTTACGTATGAACTTCTTAATTTCAACTGAGTCAGTTGCTTTGACTTCTATTTCATCGAATTCAGGAATAGTGAGCTTTTGTTGTTGGATTTCAGGAAGTTTAGGTAGATGGTCAATAATATCCTGCATTTCATAAAGATACTGTTCATTTGTTTCATCTTTTGCAGTGCAATCTAAATCTCCTTGGAGAAGTTCTTGCTTTATCTTCTGGATTGTTGTTTCGAAAGTAAACGAATCTGGAATGAAGCTTTTCATTTCTACTAACATTGAAGTTGGATTCATGACTAACGAGTTTGGTGCTGTTGTTGCTAACATGTTCTTACAATAAAAATAAAAAATATTTTTTAAAAAAACTAACTTTATTTTTTATTTCGGGAAAGTGTCAAAAATAAATTGTTTTCATGAGTTTTCTACGATGGTAGAAATGAGGTTAGATCTAACCATCTACCCTAAACTTTATTTTTGCCGAATTCAGCAACAAAATTCATGAAAATTCATGAGGGTAGAAATCGGGGTAGAAATGAGGTTAGATCTAACCATCTACCCTAAACTTTATTTTTCAATACTTTTTCAGCACTTTTCCGTAGTTATATATGAAAGACAATTCGAGATAAAAGTCATAGTACAATGGAATAATATGTTGCACACCATTTGTTGTGAACCAAACTTGAAAGTCAGAGAAACTGTTACTAGGTGGTTCGTAGAATTTAGAAGCAAAGTCATAAAAGTCCTTACCAATACATAGAAAACTATTGTTGCTTGAACTGAAACTTGCATGACACATAACATTTTGAGGGTCAAACACGTTTCTATAAACTGTCAAATCTGCTGGTGGAAGTATAAATTTAAATGGACCATCTGGTGGTAATGGTTCGTTCTGGTTTAGTAACCGAAGAAATTGTGCCCAAGAACGTTTGTCTACTCCCCAAAATAAAAACTCTGTATCTCTTGGAGGGTTAATTTCAATCTTTTGAAATGAAACGGTGGAGTTCATCTTGTCATATTCTAGTTTCAGATAGTATGTTCCATTTAGTAAAGAGTCGTATTTTTCTTGAAATTCCCAATAATATTTGTTCATTTGAGTTTGAAAGTCATTTAGAGTTTTTCAAGACTTTCGTCTGAACGAATTGTAAAGATTTTCATTTCGTCAAATTTGTCTATTAGACCATCAGAACCTTTATACTGCCCATGAAAATATACTGCGAACATAAATGCGTTAGTTTTTTGAAAACAAAACTCTTCTAAATCCTATTGCCTTTGCATCTGAAGGACTTTGAAGCCAACGAATTGGATAGTCAAACCTGTATGCTCCGGATGAAATTTCTTCATCTGAAATAGTCCTACCAGCATTTGTAAAGATATAGTCTAACGGTTTTGTATCTGCTACTTTTGTTCTTTGTTTTTCAACCTGAAGCATTTAATATATGTAAAAATATATTGTTTTAAAATGGTATGCCATTTCATATTTCTCATCTAACAAACAAGTTTCCCAACGGTCTTCTCCAACAAACTCAGCGTACAGTTCAAATAAAATTTAAAAAATGTCACTTTTTTGAAAAACGTTTTTATTTCATGCAATGTTTTATTTCTGTGCCGTCTTCAAGTATGCCCCAGTACTTACGCTTGGAGAGGACATGAACTTCGGAAAATACCTTATCTAGCTTAAAACAGCCCATCTTTTCACCGACCATGCCCATTTCAATGAGTTTGTTGTACCCTTCTTCGTTCGTCATGAGTGCGTCAATGTTCTCATAGTAAACCTTCACTTTGGATTTGACTTCGGAGAAGAATTTGTTGTAGTTGTCAAGGACTGCCTTTGCGAACTGAGGGTAAGACCAATGTTCGACAATAGGTTTTAATGTGGTTACTAAGCCACTTTGACCTTGAGTGAATTCGTACTTCAAAACAAAAGGAGAAAACCTTTCAACAAAGTTGTCGACCTTCTCATAATGTTTACTCTTCATCTCTTGAGGTTTCTTAATGGAATATCCCCATGTCGAATTCATAAGCAATTTGAGTGTCATTGCAAGTTTGGGGTTTGAAGCTTTCCTAATATCATACAGTTGTTGTATGACTTTTCCAACTGTATAGTTCCTTCCCGGGAACTCACCATCTTCGTTTGGAATTCCAGTCGGAATATATTGGACAAACCTCATGTATGCAGCGTTAAGGTCGACATAGTATATCTTTTCGTTTGAGTCGAACTTGTCGCAACCAATTGGTCCAGTTTGTGGAAATTCAAGTGAGTCTCTTATCTTCTGAGAAACTTCTCCTGTTATCTCATAAACATCGTCGAAGCAACCTGTTTCATATAAAACCTTCTGACCTAACTCAGATGCTCTCCAATACAATTTGACGTCAATTGGATGTCTCAATGGAAGTTTGTTTATAGCATCTTGAAGTTCTTGCAACCTCATTGGAAGTTCTTCTGGTTCAGGTGGTATCCGAACAAACCAACTCCTTGTGGAACTGTGTACTTCTTTTGTACTAGAACTTTGTCTGGAACAACTTTTGGTCTTGCTAACAATGAAAAGTTTGTTTCGTCTTTTGGTACAAAAGTTTCTGTCAGCTTGTCATCTGGAATTGGTTCCAACAAACCTTTCTCGAAAAGAATGTTTACAGCTCTGACAATGTTGCACTTGCCTTTTCCGAACAATGGGTTTGTAAGACTTTCGTTCAACATGAAGTGGTTGTGGACAATTACAATCTTCAACCATGGTAAGTCTTTGTCAACAACATAGTCGTCATGTGAAGAACCTTTAGCTGTAGGTATGTTGACTCGGATATTGACATTTGCCAACGGTGCAATTTTTGCCAATTGACCTCTGAGAATGTACCTTGTCTTCACACATGACTCAAGATACTTCATTTTCTCATCTGTAACAAGACCAGAGTTCCTGAGACATGTAAGAATACAAGGTTCATTGACAATTGTTTCAATTGAATTGTAAATTCCATACCTTGTCAAGTCAATGTCAGACTTATTTCTGAAGGGGAAGTATCCAGCATGTTGTCTGACTGCTTGAGGGTTAGGTTGGTACCATTCGAACTTGACACTTGCAATTCCTTCAATTGCATTCAAAATGTCTGAGTCGGAGTCAACCATTTGTTCTCTCTTTGTAGTCTTGAAAGCGTCAAGAAGTTGTGCGGCTGTTGTGACATTGCCATGTGCATAGTAAATGTGACCATCCAAATCTGTTATGGTCAATCTGAGATTGTGTCCTTTCTTATTTCCGTCTTGAATTGCAGCAAGTACACCCATGAAGCCTTCTTTGTTCTTTCCTTCGTCAAAGTTTACTGTAAAGGTTCGACCAGATGTAATTTGACTTCTAACTTCACGATACTTTTCATATGCATATCTTGTTCTTTCCATGGGAGCATGTGTGTCTTCACCTTTTCCTTTTTTCCTTCTCAAAGGATGCAATGGTTCGTCATGTTTCCAGTAGAATCTGGCAAAGCCGTCGTGTCCTTCAACTTGAGGTTCACTAACATCGAAAGGCATGTCCATAAGACGTTCTTCTTCTAACCTCTCTAGTCTGTTTGGATAATTGGCACGTGCTGTTTCCAAATCCATTTCGTAGCGAAGACCAGACAATTTGTCATAGACTTTTATGGGTCTTCCCTTCCTATATTTAAACTTCTTCGAAACTCTCCAACCATATCTTTGCAACTCTGCTTTTATTCTAGCAGACTTTCTATCCATTCTATATGGGGGCATTTTTATAAAAAGAAAAAAAATATTTTTTTCTTTACTTTACATAACCGCCTGCTGCCAAAAGTCTTTGACGCCAACCCATACCAGCTAATGAAGGTTGGCTTGGTTTAGTTTGGAAACTAAACTTTGGTTTTGGTTTATCTTCAGTTTTTGGTTTCTCTTCTTCTATCGGTTTTTCGTCACTTTTCGGTTCCTCTGACTTTACTTTACTTGCAGGAACAGTTGTGTCGTCAACATCTTCATAAATATCATATGCCATTTGTTTTTGTTTTCCTTTCAACTTTTTGTGTTTGTTGTAAAGTTTAGAATATTTCGACTCTAAGTCAATGAGATGTTCTATAATGAACTGTTGGTCAGTGAAGTAAACTTTTCCATCTGTTGTCTCGAAAGCTCCTTCAGACTTCAATATTTTATTTGTGAGAGTCTGTTTCTTTTTTGAGATACTAGCCGTTCCATTTCTATGAAAAGTGACTTTATAGTTAGAGTTTGTATTCCAGACCTGGCACTTTCTATTATTGAATTTTTCTCTTCATCTGTAAGTTCTTTGACAGGTTTTGACAATGGTTCTGAACTTTTTGTTTGTGTGTCAAATCTACCGTTTCAACTTCTTCGGTCATTTCATCTCAGTAAAAAATTTTAGTTTGGTTTGTTTTCAACTGGTTGTTGAGGTTTTTTAAGTCGGTCTAAAACTTCCTGAGGTATAGGAAGAACTTGACAAACACGTTGTGTAACTGCTGGAAGCCGACAAATCCATCTTGAACCCATTTGTCTCAATGCTGTATTGTTCATTTCATCTCAGTAAAAAATTTTACATTCCCACGTTTGAGGTGGTTGAGGTTGGTTATTGTTTACCCACTGTTGTGCATGGTTATATCCTCTGTTAAAGAATCTTTCACCTTGGTCCATATAGTGCCCTGCTTGGTTATAGTAGTCATTTGCTTTGTTATAATAGTTTCCTGCTTGTCTTCCTACATTGTCCATCCATCCTTGAACTTTTCCTCTTGTTTCAGGATTTGGAATAAGATTTGTTGCATCTCGTGCTACATCCCAACCTTTCTGTACAGTTTGTATAATAGGTTGTGCTTTCTCTTTAAGTATACCTAATGTACTCAAAATCTTCCTTCCAACTCCAAATACACCTCTGGCTATTGTTCCCACTGCGGGCAAAAATCTGGATGCAACTCCTGCTAATGCGCCAAATAAACCCATTTCTTATGGGTTAAAAAATGACGAATTCAAACAAGGACCCCTATGTTTCTAAGGCAACAAAGAAAGCACTCATGGTAAAAATCTTTAGTTCAACACCAAATGCTTGGTTTATGGATATCTTGGAAAACATTCCGAGGTATAGAGAAGATGGACCACCATACTGGCTAATATTTGTTGGTCAAAACACAAGATACTGTGAAGCCATACCATTATGGTCCAAAAATATTTTAGATGTGAAAACTGCTTTGTCAATATTCGTTGACAAATACCATCCAACAAAACTGACATCTGACTGTGAAAGTTCTTTCAAATCAGATGATGTAAAAAACTATCTGCGTTCAAAAAATGTAAACCAATATTTCATTGTCGACCAAAACCATTCTGCTCTTGGTGTCATTGACGGTTGTATAAAAATGTTAAGAGACTTAAACCAACCACAAGGTGGTGAAGCAAATGAAATGTCATATGACGACAAGTATAGACACTTCTCCATGGCAAAGATGAGACAAGTTTTAAATATTTACAATACCCGTAAACAAAAAGGTTTGGGAAACCACTCCCCGAAGAAATGAAAAACAACCCTGACTTAGAGAAAGACTATATATTTAACAATTTAGTCAAAAGAGACAAACAAGAAAGAATGCCGGGCTTCAAACTTCAGAAAGGTGACAAAGTAAAAATAGAAATACCTAAACGCGACCCATATGAAAATACTATTGACTATGACAACAATGGGAACCGACAGGTACTCACATTCGTGTTCGTAAAAATAGAAGAAAGTATACAAGAGAATATTATGAAGTTTTAGGCAAACATGGCAAAATGTACACACTGCAAGCAGAAGATAAAACTACTATTGTCAGACCTCGTTTCAAACTTGTCAAAGTTCAAGGTGGTATACTTTCAAAGACAGTTCCTAACAAATATAAGACAACTCCAGACGAATATGCTAAAGAAGTTGAAAATGACGACTAAGCAATTCTATACCATGCGTAAACTGTCATGTAAGGTGGCATGTAGTCTTTACTTTGTCCCGTTGTTTGCGTATACCCTGAAACGTGATGTGTATGGTTTCCTCCTCCCTCAGTGTCACTCCAGTAACAATTTATAGCAAATTGAACGTTGTTTTTAACATCATATCCTTTACCTTTTGTCATTGCTGACCAATCCCAATATCTATGCTTATGCCAACCTGCTTGAGATGTACTTAAATCTATGTAGTGACTGTGCGCAGGTAAATTTGCACCTGAAATCGTTTTACTTCCACCTGTTTCCTTTGAAGAGTTTGCACAATACAAAAACCTGTCGACTATTTGAGTCCAAGTTCCAAAACCAAGTACTACTTCTGGTCTGGTAGAGTTCATTGACGTATAAATAGAACCTATAGGATATAATGTTTGAAGTATTTCTGTCTTTAATGTTTGAAGCTCTGTTTTGTCAGCTTTCTTATCATATAAATCTTGAGCAGTGAATTTAACATTATTTTCATCCTCCATGACATAAACATTTCTACATCTAATGTATTTCATCGTCGTTATGTTTTCCTCCGATGTTAAACCTTGTGGAAAGTTAGGAGGTTTCCAATATAATGCATCCCCATCAGTTCCATCAGCTCCTTCAACCGTTCCTTCAATACTTTCTATACCAACAGTTGTGAAGAATTCATGTGTATGGTTCTTATCTGCTTTCTTTTCAAGGCTAACGTTTAAGTCTGTTATTTCAGAAGATGTATGTGTATGTCCAACGTCACTTTTCCTGTTTAAGGTTTCTTGTAAGTTTGTAATATTTGCAATGGTATGTGTATGTCCAATGTCACTTTTCCTGTTTAAGGTTTCTTGTAAGTTTGTAATATTTGCAATGGTATGTGTATGTCCAATGTCACTTTTCCTGTTTAAGGTTTCTTGTAAGTTTGTAATATTTGCAATGGTATGTATATGAGTCTTTTTAGAATATTCGTTTTCAGCTCTTGTCACTTCACTTGACATTTTATTGTCAACATATGTTTTGTCTGCTAGTTCAGGATGAGTATGTTCTTTTGTTGCATAAGCATTGTTAGCTCTTTCTTCTTCTTTTGCTATTGCATCGTCTACATATTCTTTGTCAGCTTTGTTGTCAACATCTGCTTTCAAAAGAAGTTCATTTATAGGTTTCTCGTTTAAAGTTCCTTTTGTTGGATTTATACAGACAGTATGGTTCTTATTGTCTTGAAACAGAAACTCATCTGTCATTGGGTTTAATGTCAGTTTTAAGTTTCCTTCTTTCAATGACTCAGATATCTTAGAATAGTTTGAAAAGTTTGTTGTGTTCTTATTTAGAGCTTGCATAATGAGTTGTCGGTTGTGTTGTATTTCTCTTATGGAAGCAATATCTTTCGACATTTTTATTCTAGATAAAATATGCTTTCAATAGAAAAAGAAAATTCAACAAGAGTTGCTACAACTAAACCATTAGATGAACTTTTTACTAATGTAGGTCAAAAGTTTGAGACAGAGACCGTAAAGCATGAAGGCTATCGTTTTGACTACCCATTAAGATGGTTAAGAGACCCATCCGTCACAAAAGCTATTGGCTTTCGTAGAATGAAGTTCATTTCAGAAGCCATACATGGTTTCCCATTTACGGTCGGTTTTGAAGTTCGATACTATAACAAAGAAAAACGTATGTATGAGAAATTTGAACAGGGAAAACTTTTACAAGTGAATTTGCTTGTAAACTTAGAAACAACTCTTCAAGCTTTTCAAGAAAAAATAAACGATATCTATATCGAATATGCAAAACAGTATAACATTGACGAAGGAGAATACCATCTCGATATTATTTATGACAGGAAAAATGCAACTGTTAAAATCAATAGAATAGAAGACCTTGGAGAAAACGTTTATATTTCTACAAAATATAACAACTTGGCATGGTATAGATTTATGAGGATGTTAAATCAGCCTGCAGCATATCCAGTACACCCGAACTTTTATGAAGTCGAAAACCCTAATGGAACATATGAAAATGTTTTCGACCCAGATGCTATTATTGTTCATGCTTCATTTTCTGGTGCGCAAAACTCTTTCTTATGTCTGATGAATGATTTTTACGAAAACCTACAAAGTTATACGAACCACCAAGTGGAAGTATTTCAGACTTTCAAGTATGGTTTACTACAGATGGAAGAAAAAGAATAATTCCATTATACCATGCGTTTTACTTAGAACTTAGTTTCATATACAACTACTATCGAACGGTAAAAATATAATTTTTTAATACGGTTGAGGTGTTGGATTTGGTTGCCAACTAGACTGTGGTGCAGGTTCAGGCTGTTGTATAACAGGAGCTTGTTCTTCTGGTTCAGGGTCTTTAGGTATAATACCAACAAACTGACCTACTCTTTTACCAATATTTTTGACTCCGTTCCAAATTCCTCTTCCGACAGATTTTATTCCATTCCATATACCTCTTCCAATTCTGAGAAGTTTCCAATACTACTGAAGAAACCCATTTTACTATATGTAAAAATCTAATGTCCGCCTAGTCTCTTACGTTTCCTGTTGAGTTCCATAGCATTCTTTAACTGGAGCTCATACATTCTGTTTCTCCTCTGGTAGAAAACATATTCTGGGTCAACTCCTGTGTTCGCGTCATCTGCATAAAGTTGTTTATATCCCACTTCAGGGTTTGTATAAAACTCTTTCCATCTCATATTTGCATACCATGGTGGCAAACCTAACGCAGCGTCATTTGACATGGCAGTTTGCATTTGTACATCTGTTGGCACTTGACCATAGTTTGCCATTGCAGTTTGTATTCTAACTTCATTTGGAATATTCTCTGGGTTTGGTTGTCCAGGTTGCTGTGCATTCGCTAAGTTCTGTGCGTCCATTTAATATTAGATAAAAATATCTCTTACGAGTACATATGCTGAACATTTGCAGGTATTGGTTCATCTTCATATTCTCTATATCTTTCTGCCACGTCAAATAAGTAAATGACACAATGGAAAAAACCTAAAACAAGTAGTCCTATTTCAAACCACATTTACTTACCAATAAAATTTCTTTGTTATGACACTTTCTCCGGTTTATAGGACCTCTCTCATATTCTATCTTGTCATATCTAAACTCATAGTCATGTATGTCCTCTAACCATCTCATAACGGTTTCCAAACCACTTTTATCGGATGTAAAGTAAAAGCATGGATGGTTATGTAAAACGTCTAAAGTTTCTAAAGAGTCTCTCAAAGTCCAGTCTACTTGGTATTGAAAATCCCATGTGTTATAGAACGGCGGGTCCACTATAAAGAAAACTTTCCTTGTCTTTATATTTTTCATACAACTCTGTCCAATGACATCTCACAAACTCTATACCCTCAATATATTTTTCTATGTTCTTTTTGAAAACATTTGTATAGTTAAGATATAAAACTTTTGACATAAGTGTTTCAATGTCATGAACTCTTATAGCACAACTATATAATAGTCTAGCAGATATACTATCCCAGTCTATATATTCTGCTTTTTTCAAAACCTCTCTCACAATATTTTTCTTATCTAATGGTATACTTCCATCTTGCCTATAGGTATCTTTTCTTTTAACTCTTTCAATATATTGTTTGTGTCTGGAATATGTTTGAGACGGTCCATATAGTTGTCGAAGTCATTGCATATAATCTTTGAGTCTGGGAATACGGTATGACATAAATGGGACATATAGAAACTTCCACCGAACAAATCTACAAATGTTAGACCATTCGGTAGTTTCTTAAGTTCTCTCAATAGAATATCTTTACATCTACTCTTATTTCCAAAGAACGGTAACGGCGGTTTTGTAAAATTCATTTATATATAATAATAAAAATGTTTTTGCCTGAAAAGTGACAGAAAAGTGACAGAAAAGTGACAAAACATGAAAACATATATAATTTGTGAAAAGCTCCTGGAAGCCCTCCGAATAAAAACTTCATTTATACTAAACATCTTCGGGGCTAGAGGGCACGAAGTGCCTGGAAGCCCCACTACCTTTTGTTTTTTTTTTACATTTATAATTATTTAGTCATATTTTGCATAATTCTAAGTAGATTAAAAAAAAAAAAAAGGTAGTGGGGCTTCCAGGCACTTCGTGCCCTCTAGCCCTGAAGATGTTAGTATAAAATGAAGTTTAGTATAAAATGAAGTTTTTTTTGGGTATAGGGGGCTTTCCAGGGGCTGCGCCCCTTCTAGCCCATAAAAATTTTTGAGAGTCGTCGCTGTTGACTTTTTTTGTAGAGCACTCAAAATAGTACAACTTTGTCCGGACAAGTAAGGGTCTATCGTCGCTACAGGAAAAGTTACGGGCGTTCCAAGGAAGTATACTTTGAGAGACTCTTTAGAAACTTTAGACGTTTTACATAACCATCCATGCTTTTACTTTACATCCGATAAAAGTGGTTTGGAAACCGTTATGAGATGGTTAGAGGACATACATGACTATGAGTTTAGATATGACAAGATAGAATATGAGAGAGGTCCTATAAACCGGAGAAAGTGTCATATAAACATCTGTCAAAAACCGCTTTTTAACTTCACTTAAAATGCCACGTAAGCTACGTAAGAATATACGTAAGAGGAAGAGAGCATTGAAACATCCAATAGTAAGACTGACACCACAACAACAGTTGCAACAACAAATGCTGAATGACCCCACTATGTTGCAACAAATGTCAAGCAATCCTATGCTTTTAAACCGAGTTACTGGTGCACAGAGTGGAGGTTTAAGAGCGGCACTTTTAGCGAAAATGGCAGGCTATGGTGGAGCTGCAGACGGAACAGCTTATAACCCTCAAAGTCAAATGAATTTGAGTTCACTCAAAAATCAAATAGCAGATGTCAAAAAGTCAAACATAGACATACAGAAGCAAATAAGTGAAAACGAAAAGAAACTAGAATATGACAGACACACAAAGAAACTCAATGAGTTAAACGTAGAGAAAAAGAAGAAAGAAGAACAACTGAAAGAACTAAGTACAGAGGAATATGCGAAAAAAGTGTCAGAAAAAGCAGCAGAAGTAGCAAAAATGGAACAAGATGTCATAAATTTGAAAAACCATACTACTCAATATAAAGTACTGAAAGATGAAGAGATAAAACAAAAAGCCCTGAAGACGTATATGGATAGCGATGAGTATAAAAAGAAGTTGAAGCAAATGTAAAGGCAGAAAAACTTTACAGTTGCAAAACCAAACCGTACAGTATGAAAACTTAGCACAAGAAAGTAAAAATAACGACGCAGCCATGCAAAAGGCAATGAAAAGCGCAGAATATATAAAAGCTAACAATGACTGGTTAGATGCCCAAGCCAACGCTAAAGCAGCCCAACTTATAGGGTCAATAAGGACAAAAATACAAGCGGATGAAGACAGTTCAAATGAAGCTTTAACAAATGCTGACTTTAAGAACGCCTTCGAAGCTCTTCATAGTAAGGTGAAACAAGTGAACGACTTCTCATCTGGAAAGAAACTGAAGTCTGAAGGTTTCGACAAAGAGTTAAAAGAAGTAGCACAAAATATGACGAAAATAACAGATGCAGCAACGAGACAGGCAGTTCAAAGTGCTTATGACGCCGTTAGAGCAACTGTTGTGGAAAGTCAAGAAAAAGAGTTACAACAGACCAAAACAGACCTAGTAAATGCTTTCTTAAAAACGAAAAGTCAGGTAGGACATTACGCTGCAGATGGAACATATGTGCCAGCTGGTGGAACTTATATACCAGCTGGTGGAACTTATATACTAGCTAGTGGAACTTATATACCACCAAACCCTCCAAGAGAAGCACCTGCACCAGGACTACCTAAAACATTTACATCGTCACATGGACACAGACACAGGCATGCACCAAAACCAACAGTTCAAAATCCAGCACAACAACAACAACAACCAGCACAACAACAACAACAACAACCAGCACAACAACCAACAGTTCAAAACCCTGCACAACAACCACCTCCACAACCAGCACAGCAACCAACAGTTCAAAACCCTGCACAACAACAACCACAAACAGAGCAAGGACATAAAAGAAGTAGAGAACAAGGAAACCAAGAATTCTTAAAAATGCTTAAGGAAGAGTATGGTTACCCAGATACTCTTGACTTTAGTGACAGATATAAAGAAGCTATTAGAAAGTTCAATGAAGGAAATACTGACCCGAATCTATTTAGCTTTATGGCTCAGCACCAAAAAGGATATAATCTCAAACCTGGAAAATACAAGCTCGCTAAGGGATATGATTTAATAGCATATCATCCAAATGACATGAACGAATTTACTCCGAGATATTTGGTGTCAGAGCTAAATGACAATTCAACTCTCTTCATGAAACGCGTAAAAAATAGAGACGGAACAAAAGAAGAAAGGTTTATGAGTCCGGATGACTTAGATAGGGAAATTGTTGAAAACGGTCTCGGAATATATGAAATGCCAGCAGATGAGGTACAAGAAACTCCACAGGAAGAAGTTCAGATACAACCAGACATGGAAGAAATAGTTCAGCAACAACAGCTAGAAGAGCCTGAAGGAAACGAACAAGTCCCTCCTTTGGAAACTAACTTCACAGAACTAGATGAAGATTTGGAACAGCCGAAAAATCTTGACCCTCAACAAGAGTATGCGGAGAATATGGAATCTTTCCAAGAGTATAAGAAAAATTCGGCTGACATAGTAGAAGAATATCGAAAAATGTTTGCCGACATACAAAAGACTCCAACACCAGATGAAAATATTCAGCATAGAATGGAAGTACTGAAAGAAAATGTACGCAAATACAACAACCCTTTTTACTTACGACCATATAACGTTCAATCTTTGGCTGAACTCGGTGAAAATAAAAGGTTAAATTTCAACAAAACATATAGAAATGAAACATTGTTTAAAGTTCATTCAGAACCTAACCAAGATGGAAACAAACCTACTTTTGTTTCTGCAGACTATGGAACTACAATGAGATGGGGTCATAAAGCTAATCCGGATAGGTGGTTCATAAACTTACAACCACAATTCCAAGAAGTTGTAGACGCAATGGAAGTGAATGGTGAACCAGATATAGCTGGTATTTTCAGCGCGGCTTTAATGCCATTGAAAGATATGAAACATGCAGATATTTTGGACCAGTATGAAATGAACATGGCTGATGGAAATATAACACCTGACGTTCTAAAACATTTATCTCAAAGAACTACACAGAACCATAAAGATGGTATATTTGGTGAAGAGTTTAGAAAGAAAGTTAGGGAGGGAGAAGGAAGAGAACCTATTGTACATGACCTTGCAAACGAAAGTTTGCAAAATGTCATAAAAACTTACTTTGCAGACAATGAACCGAGAAGGGATGAATATTTAAGAAAACTCAAATGGACAGTACCAAATGAAATGTTAGTATTGAAAAACATGTTCCTTGACAAAATAAAACCAACTACAGAAATAAATGACGCAAGACTGAAAGATTGGGTAAAAGCTTTCCCATTCACAAAAGATATTGTTGGTAACATGGAAAGAAAACCAGAATGGCTACAAAAACATATATTTGGAAACAAGCTTATTCCATATGGACAAGCTCTGTTTGAAGAGCTTGAACCGGAAACTCAGGAAAGAGTCATGCAAACAATACGCGAAGACTCAAATACAAACTATGACAAACTCTTTCTAGGATATAGGTTACCTGAGATGGGCGACCAGAGCCCAAAGGCAAAAAGGACATGGGAAATTTACAACATACTAGGTGAACATGAGGCAAAGATGCAACAACTTGAAGCAGAGGGCAAGTTACCAAAAGCGACACCAAAGAAGAAGAGAAGAGTAGAACAAAGTGAAAGTAGTGAAGAAGTAACTTCATCTAGTGAAAGTAGTGGCAATGAAGGAAAAAGAAGAGTTAAAAACTCAGTCAGGAAGAAAGTAAAGCTTGGTCCGAGTGGGTTCTATTATGACACATAAATCCAACTATTCTATATTTTTACCCATATGAAATGTACGCCGCTCAGAATATAACGCCAACAGTTTTGGATGCCATGAATGGAAATGTTTCCGAATGGTATAACGAATGCGACAATGCCATTAGAAGGTCAGAAATAGTTCCTGGAACTTACGAATATACAACTGCTGTTTCTTATGGAAACGTAGGTGAGTTTGGAGAAGGTTCTTCAACAACAGTAGATATTGCTTGCGACAGGTTTCATATTATTTCTATTGACAACTCATTCTTATACGTGGAACAAGACATTGAAATAAAACCTTCTTCCAAGTTGTCTGACAAGAAAGGTTGCAATGGAATTTTCTATGTCGGATACCAATATGCTCCAGAAGTTTTCATGGGATATAAGATATATTCTAACTCTGACTTAGTTCAAACAGTAACATGGGCAAACTATGAATGGTTCGCTTTGAGAAACTCAGTACAACCACAAGCTAGAGAACAAACAGACCAGTATGCAACTATTGAGAAAATAAGAAGACTTGACCTAACGTTCCAGGAGTTTATGTTAACCTTTCTGGACAAACTGCAGCAGCAGTAACCAAAGTAAAACTGAAACTTAGAGTTCCTTTGTCATCTTTCCTCATCTTCAGGTTTTTAAGATACTTGCCAAACTGGGCAGGAAAAATTTCTATCGAACTTACTCCAAGCAAAAATAACTTAGTCATTGCACCAACACAAGACCCATTCACTCTTACAGACGTAAAGGGAGCAAATCAAACGTCATTCGCCGAATTTTGCAAAGACAAAGTTGACTTAGACTTTGGTTTCTCAAACCTCAACACTGAAGTAAACTATTATTTCAATGCTGCTGGAACTGCTTGGGACCCAGTTAAGTTCACATGCGAAAAATTTGAATGCAAGAGAATAGAAAGCAGACTTGCAGTCTATATGTTGGACCCAGATATTTCAAATGCTTTAGCTGCCAAATATATTGCAGTTCCACTTATGTTCCCTATACACCAAATATCTGTCAAAGACTTTGCAGGTGAAGTTGGAAACCAAAGTGCTGACCCAGGTGCAAGAACAGATATTGCTTTAACAACTGCAATGAAACATGCAGATACTATGTTTGTACTGTTCAGACGAACTATAAATGACTATTCTTGTTTCTACAACCCTGGTATTAAATATCATATAAACATAGATGGCAAATATTATCCAAGAGAAGAATATTCTACAGTTGAGGATATGAGGTCATACAACTTGACATTAGATGCTATGAACTTTAACAACAACTTCACAACAACCATTAACCCTGAAATGCAAAGTTCTATTATGCCATATGTGAAAGTATGGACTCATACAGGAGGTCAAAAAACTCAATATACAAATAGAGACCGTTCAAACTTTTGGCTTGGCATTCTATTTGCTGACTCAGAAGACTTTATGGGTGGTATTTCAACTGTTGGTACAGTTCAAATACAATATACTGGTGACAGAGACGGTCCAGATGAATTGAAAGCAAAGAAGTTTACAAAACCAATAGCACTTTTCACGGAAGATGCTCTTTTGAAGATTCGTTCGATGAAACCTGCTGGGGCTCCTCAGATTGGCATAACGACAGCTTCCATCGAGCAGATTTTGGCAGCAGGTCAGTAAGTTGTTCTTGAACTGACTTCTCTCCGTCAAATATTGACAGTACGCCAGTTTTGACATAGTATTGTATTATAAACTTACCTTTAGAAATATCGGTCAGTTTTGTTGTTATATTTTTGTCAACGTCAAGAACTTTCACCATTTCAGTTATACCAACTTTCTTTGCTTTATGAAAATATTTTGGTTCAGCAAATATTGCTATTCTATAACATTTTCCATTGTTTGTATAAAGAACTATTCTGTCAATGTATTTGTATTGTTTGTGTGTGTAAACTTTGTTTTGCTTCAATTCGAAGAGATACTCAAATACGTCCATCTTTTTATTCTAAGTAAAATGTCATTTCCGAAAAATAGAAGCGTAAGTGTTTCAAAAGGTTTAATGGCGGTGGCAGATGTGAAGTTAAATTCACCAACTCAAACAAACAGTCAAAGTGTTGTTGTCAATGTCAAAGAAAGAGATGTTGAAGTGGGGAAACCATACGAAGACGAAGATGGTATAACAATAGTTCCTGTAAAAGAACAACCAACATATCCTGAAGTTAGCAGAGACTTAAGTTCTGTTGCAGATATTCGAAATGACTACCAACAACTTAAAGACAAACTTAAAACTCAGGAGAAGATTTGTCAAGCTTTAGGTATAATGTTAAACTTGGTCGAACACAACCCTGTAAAAGTGAACTCATATGTCATTGCACCTCATGAAGTTTTGAAAGAACTATTGAAACTTTTGACAGAGGCAGACGATATAAACATCAAAGAAATAGAACCCGACATTGCTTGCTGTGGTGTTTCATATAATGTCATTGACAAGATATACGTTATGAAAGGAGGTGAAACGTTGAACTTAAAATATAGTTTCCCAGACGTTATAAAAATATTTGACGACCACAACATTTCATTAAAATTTATTTGCTAAGTAAAAATGGCAGAAGACATAGTGGTTTATACTATTACGACTAAAAACCCTGAGTCATATAATTCTATAACAACAAACTTACAAAGTCCTCAAGGACGATATTGTAAACTGACCTTAAACACGATGACGACTAAAGCCTGTTTTGCTCTTTTGACACCAGAAGACTTTGTTGTTGTGAATGGTAAAAAATACTCCTTTGAAGATACTTACTCAGATATACCACCAACAGGTTTTGTTGACTTATTTAATACTTTAAGTACGGGTGTAACATGTGCTGCAACTAGAGCAGGTTTCATTATGTTTGGATGTCCGACTGAGTTTACTATAAACAATATGAGCTATAATACAAAACTTATATCTGGTTTTTACTACCAACAGTTTCCTATAACAGGAAAAGGTGTCATACAAGGTTTGTCTATTCCATTGACTTTAAGTACACCTATTTTATATATTGTTTCAAACTTAGGTTCAAAGTGCTATTCGAATGTCGACAGAAACTACTATGACCAAAAGATACTCATGCGTATAAACAACACATTCTCTGCTGGTTTGCCTATTGTTCATTCGAATGCAGAGTTTTCAGCTTTAGTAAACTCAAACACTTTAGCAAACATAAACTTAACCTTAGTTGACGCAAACTTTGTTCCTGTAAAACTTTTATGTCCTATGTATTTGTCAATGACGGCAGAAAGTTTCGAATTGGAAGATGCAACTGGTGAAAGTATTGTACTACAAGAACAACTTCAACAACAAATAGCTCAAGAACAACAAATGCAACAAATAGCTCAAGAACAACAAATGCAACAACAAAGTCAAGAATAAAAAAAATATTTTTTTTTATTTTTATAAAAATGTACAGAATAGATGTTTCAGATTTTTATGACTTCCAAGCCTTCAGAAATATGTGTCCATTTAGAGACTATAACAAAGCAGTCGAGAATTTGAAACGTTTAGTCATTTATGTCGACTCTGCCCCAGAATGTTATGTCATGAAAAAATGGGATGTAGTCTTTAACAAACCTAAAGCGACAATAGTTTCAGAACAAGAATGTAAACAGAAACTTAAGAAAATAAAAGTCGTACAAGTT